GAAAGTTTCGATCCCAGAGCTCAGCCAAATTCGTGGAATGCAAAATTTCTAGAAGCCATAAATAAAATTTATCTCTTCCAGAATGTAACAGATCATACCAGGATACTCAGGTTAGATAGACCGTCTACGCTTGACATAATATTTACAAAGCATTAAGATTACATTAAGGGTATGGAGTATTTACAAAGCATAAAGATTACATTAAGGGTATGGAGTATTTACAAAGCATAAAGATTACATTAAGGGTATGGAGTATTTACAAAGCATAAAGATTACATTAAGGGTATGGAGTATTTACAAAGCATAAAGATTACATTAAGGGTATGGAGTACTCCCCTCCTCTAGGGAAAAGTGATCATGTGGTAATTAAGTTGAACTACAGTCTGATACAGGGGGAAAAAAAACTCATCGTAAGTATAGAAAGAAAAGGAAGATACAATTACAAGAGAGGTAATTATAGAAGCCTTAAAATTTTCTTTGATGGCATAAACTGGAAAACCCTCCTGAACGAAGAGAACCTTGATATGCAATATTCTAAAATTTGCGGTCTACAAACAAGGAGTGGAAAAAATTGTATCAAAATTCAATGCACCATCAAAACATGGCCAAAATTATTCAATAATAAATGCAAAAAAATGAAAGAAACCAAACAATTCCTTTGGAGAAGGTTCATAAGGTTTTTCTTTAACTACATGAAAAGTAAGACTGAAAGTAGAGATCAAATTAACATCGTTTATAATAAGGAAGAGGAACTGTGTGAAATCCTTAATGAGAAATTTCCGTGTTTGTTCAGGACATATACATTGAAAACGCAAGTATCCGTACAACCAGAATATCGAAAATATCACACTCGAGAAAAATGAAATAAAAGACCTACTGAAAGGTTTACACAAGACTAAAGCAGAAGGACCAGATGAGATATCTAACTGGGATCTGAGGGAATGTGCCGAAGAATTCTGTATTCCGTTATTATTAATATTCCAAAAGTCAGTGAGACAAATAAAACTATCAAAAGATTGGAAACTTGCGATTGTTACACCTTTATGCAAGAACAACGACAAACAAAACCATATGGATTATTGAGCAGTTCGTCAACTAGTGTAGTATGAAAGCTGTTAGAAAGGATAATTAGGAAATAGTGAGTTGAAGTACTTGAAATACACGACATATCAAATTAACAATTTGGTGTTAGGGAAGGAAGGCCATGCGTAGCAAATCTCCTGTTTCTATAATAGAGTTTCTGAAATACTACAAGATACGGCTGGGTGAAATGTGTATACTCAGACTTCAAGAAGGCATTTGATAAGGTGTCTCATTAAAGACTTATGGAAATTAGAACACCTAGGCGGAATGAAAGAAACTCCTCGAATGGATGGAAGACTTTCTTCATGAAAGACTTGAGAACTATTTTGGCGCCGATTATGTTTACTATTTTCATATATGATTTAGGGTCAAACATAAGCCCAGGTTATCTGAATATGTTTTGCAAACGACGCGAAATTGCAAAAAATAAGGATAATAGAGGATTTCTCATGCCAATGTCTCCAAAATGACATCGAGAACTTATTCATTTGGAGTTGCCATGAAGTCAGGTTTAGAGAAAGTAAAAATCGTCTATTTATACCAATACAAGTTAGGAGACGTATTATTAAACCAAGCAGATCAAGAAAAAACAAAACAAAACAAAAACACCTTGCAATAATCATAAACAGGAACCTAAGCCTAAATGATAGCTAGAGCTGATTGCCAACATGAAGAGGGCATTTGTGTATGTGGACGAAGACATGGTAAAGAAGGTATGAGATATGAGCTACGACGAAAGACTACAAAAAATGGGTCTTACTCTTTTGGAAAGAAGAAACAAAGAGATGACATGATAATGATGTTCAGCTATATTGCTGGAAGGGTGAACTTAGATAAAAATGACTTTGTAATTTTGAACACAAGGACGGAGAGGACACAGCAAAAAGTTGAATGTAAAAAGAGGCGAAAAGATGTTAAGAAGTTCAGTTTCCCAAACAGAACTATTGAAACATGGAACAATCTTCCAAATAACGTTATGTGTACCAAAATGTGCAATAAGTTATATGATAATATAAATATAGCAGACGGGACCATCCGAGCTTAGCTCCTATCCAAGCTTAGCTCCTCTCCCGTATTGAAAATAAAACTAGGTAAGAACACACACGCACGCACACACGCACACACACACGCACACACACACACACACGCACACACGCACACACGCACACACGCACACACGCACACACGCACACACGCACACACGCACACACACACACACACACACACACACACACACACACACACACACACACACACACACACACACACACACACACACACACACACACACACACACACACACACACACATACACACATATTACATAAACCTAATTAGTTAAAAGATAAGGTTTTTATCAGATTCCCGAAGTTTTGTTTATCTTATCATAAGATATGAGAGTCGGCCAGGCATTGCT